AGGTTAGGGTTAGGGCCAGTTCTAGATGTTTTGGGGTTGTTAGAAGCATCAGAAAGCTGGGAAACCTAATCTTACCATCCTTCAAAATCTTGGACTGTCTTGTGATGTCATCTGGGGTAGGATACTAAGATATTAATAAAGCACCAATGATTCTCTTTCTTAAGTTAAGAGACAAGAAATTAGAATCTCTACACTCAGAAAGAGGATGATAGTTTTAACAGAAATCTTGCATGGAAAGGCACATCAGGAAGGGAATGAGAATGAAGGAAGGAATGACTGCTGAAAGGATGAGAGCTGAGTATATGAGAAAAAACTCACAGAACACAAATGATGGTAACAACAGCCCTAGAATCCCATGCTAAAATTGTGGAAGACTTTTCTAAACACTGGGAGGGGTGCACAGTCGCCATTGCCGCGGGCTGAGTCCTATGCCTCATCAAAGTAAAATATTAAAATATCGTCTGGAATGACAACCCCCCCCCCCCCCCCCCCCCCCCCCCCCCCCCCCCCCCCCCCCCCCCAATTGATATTATTATTTTTTTTTAAACAGACACATTTGTTAAAACTATAAAACACTGGTATAATCTCAATATGACGTCACTTTTCTCCATATGACCAAAAAAAAAAACATTTATCATGGTCAAAGGGAAAGAAAGCAGTTAATTCTTTGCTCCATTTGTATTTAGTAAATACTTCCACTCACATAAAAAACAAAATAACTTTTGCCCAAAACAGTGAACTGACGTAGGTTTAAAAAAATATAAAATGTTTTTTTTTTAGCAACAGTGACATCTGGAAAAAGCTGTGGCATCCTTGCTAGTCTGTATAGAGGTTCAAGCCCCAGATCTTTTTTTAAAAACTGATCAAGACTCAAAATTTATTCTTTTTCATTTCTCTATTTTTTTTGGGGGGGGGGGGGGGGGGGGGAGGGGGAGTTTCATAGAAATCAGATGCATTTCCTTTTTTTGTAAAGAAATTTCTAAAAAGGTCAATATCTTCAGATTTTTAAAAGTTGAAAGAGTTTAAAACAATCAAAGGTGCTAACCTCAATGTAATTCCAGTTTCATAGAAATCAGATGCATTTCCTTTTTTTGTAAAGAAATTTCTAAAAAGGTCAATATCTTCAGATTTTTAAAAGTTGAAAGAGTTTAAAACAATCAAAGGTGCTAACCTCAATGTAATTCCAGAAATGAGAGAAATACGCTCGTCCCATCTTGAGCATTCTACGCAACACATGGTAAAGCATCAATACTGTCAGCACAATGTACAGCAACTGCAAAGAAACACATACAAAGACAATAACTACATTTTATCTTTGACTGAAAGAGCAAAACTGTAGTCTAGGCAGAAATGTACTCTTCAGTGTTAAAGAACATTGTAGGAATAATAATAATGTAACTGAGCACAACCATCCTGCTAAGTACAGCACAGTGGTCAATAAAATTAAATAACTATTTTACAATACTATATTTTGTTTATTCTTTTGGGCATTAATTTTTAGGCTGAAGTAACCTAGGATTTGAACAATATAGTTCCCAGGAACACTGGGTATGGTTTACCTTCACTTAATTATTTCTATTTAGCAACAACGGATACAAATATTACACTTTTACACAAACCTAATTATTTATTAACTGTGCCAAAAATAATTGTTACAAACCTACTAATATACTGATTACTAAACTACAGAACATTATACTTCTAAACTGCTAATGACTGTAATATGCAGTTAACATGTTACTGTTGTAAAGATTATACTCCTCCATTACTTAACAGAGACTACTACCCACATGCACACACACACACACTCTCTCTCTATTCCTAATTCTTTAGTTGAGACAACAGCCATATAAAACAACTAACCTCACATCCGAGGATACAGTTATCCCAGACAGAAACATAGCGAAACACATCAGTTGACATGATGTGACTGGATGTCAGAATTTGGCCAGCAGCTGTCACTTCCAGTAGTAACGTCACTGAGCTAAAAATTCAAGGAATATTTGACCTAATCAATTTAGGAAATATTTGTAAAATAATCACCATCACTGTCTACACTCTGCAGCATTTCTCTAAGTTAATTTTTCTTCTGCCTTCTCAAGGACCTAAGTCTTTAACCAGTTTTCCCCAAGCCTTCATAACTGTTTGCTGTATTCCAAATGCTAACCTTATATTTCATTTCCCTTACTGACTATATAGTTTTCCCAATTTCCAGATTGTTCAAATATTCTAGGAGCCAATTATGATGAGTTTCCTCAGTCAAATGTGAAATCGATTATGAACAATGACAGTCTGTGTATGTGTATGTGTGCGCGGGCACATACTGACACGCATTTACACATACACAAATTATGAGTCTATACCATCCCCAACTCCCCCCTCATATCTCAATAACAATGAAAGAGATTGACTTGCATCTACATGTGTTTGCAATATTTAAAAAAACTGTTATCAACATTTCCAACAGCAGTCACATTTATAACCTATCCCTGAAAATGTGTATAAAATATGTAAACAGCTAGACAATGTGTCGTGACAGTAATTTTTTTAAAGTGTTTAAGGAAATCAATGTTTTTATTTTTATTTTCTACAAATTGTTTTTTAATGTCACTTCTTTGATGATTCTGCAATCAAAATTTAGAAAACCAAAAGACAAAATTATGCAAGTTTCTTAAAATACTTCATTATCTTACAAGGCAATTATTTCTACAAAACTCTAGGCCTAAAACACTGTTCACTTTCTGTGCTGGTATCCTTCAGGCAATGTTGCAATTAAATAATTAGACAGATTTTTCTCATCAATCCAACCGTCTCAACAGCACTTTCTGAGTTTGAAACAGAATGAATGTTCACCCTTGGCCTAATGCTATATATGTAGGGAGACAACTTTCAGCACCTCAACAAATTGATAGGTCACTTGTCGTCTACTGACTGGGCAGTGTTGACATTTGGCCAGATCATAGATGCTTATTGCTTATTTGAATGTCACTCTTTGGTTCAAGGATGGCATTTGTTGTGTATGTATAGCAAAGTAAAGGACCCTTTTCTATGCTTTCAGACATATTGGGAATATAGGGCTGGACCTGTATTTTATAGACCAATCAGCACTTGGTGGCTGATGTGGTGAGCGCCATGCCAGCCATCTTCACTTCCCAGGACTTTTACCTGCTACCCATTTAAGACTGGGTCCATCTGGGAGTCAAGGTCATTTCTGAAAAAATCCAACAATGTTCAAATTTGAACCCATGACGCTCGGATCCGCCATGAAACTTCTAGCTGCTACACCAAAACGGATCCCTTTGTTGTGTATGGCCATAATAAAATCAGTCTCATTATTTAGTTGTTGGACTGTATTTTCTCTGTCACATCTGTTTCTATTTCCACTACTATTTACTAGATGCTACAATATGTTCCAGTATTGGACATTCCAGAAAAATTAAGAATGCCTATTGTTTCCTACTGAATTATGTGACGAGTTTCCATTGCCTCTTGATGTATTTCTATACCTTTCCCAGTATCTAGTTTAGCAGAACGTGCTAACTCAATTTAAAGATTATTTGAGTGCTCTAACAAACATGTCATATAAACAATCTCAGATACCTAAACAAGCTGGAGGCAGCACTGAACAATGTCAACTCAACAAACACAGCACGTGTTTGAATGTCAATCCACTTCTCAGCTTCAAGCATTGCCAGTTGGTCTGCAGCTATTTTCCTGAAAAGTAAATAAAATGAAATATCTCAAAATATAGCTTCTATAAATACATGAAAATAATGCATAAATAAACAAATATTGAGCCAACAAAGTGCATTTTAAAAGCACTTGGTTAAGATAAATTAATAACTATAGTTACTATACATAAGCAATCAGAATGAACCACATGTGAAATTTCAGTTTTACAACTCTGTATGTTAAGTAGAATTATACCATATACAAGCATCAAATCTACAACCTGAGAGACTTGTTCATCCATCTCTATCTAGCACCACCCCCCTCCCTCCCCCAATGCCCCCACTTGTATTGTTGCCTGTGTCTTTATTAAGTGGCTTTGACTTTGCCTTCCAGTAAAGTTTTTATCAGAGAAACTTGTCTTTAAAGCTGACCATACAATTTGACTTTTATTTTCCTCGTTTTAAATTTCTTCCAATGACTGTTTTAATACAGCTATTGTTAGTTATATTTTTATTCTTGTGAGCTCAGTTCAGTTTACTACCTGCTTGTTCAATGTCGATGATATAGTTAAGTTACTGTCTTTTAACAAATAGTGGACAAACAACCAGAATTTTTTTAATGCTAAGAAGAAAGAGAAGCTAATTTTTAAAATCTCACATCAGTGTTAATCTAATTCTAGCCTTGTGATTGCACATAACCTAAAGTGCTGAAAATGAAGGCATTGGCTTCATATTCCAGGACAAATACGAAGAACTATAAATGGATTAGATGTAACATACATAAGATATGAACAGAACAGAACCTGGAATTATTTAGCTGAAGAACATAGCCAGACGACCCATACCAGGCAGCCTGCCCCCAGAGCCCAGGATTAGTTGTTTTATCTCCGGTCCTGTAGGCCAACCAAGACTTTGCAGGGTCAAAACTGTCCTGCCTGTCAGAGCTGTAGCCAAACAGGCAAATCTGATCAACTGCTAAGATTCCTATGTTGTAGCAGGGCTCAGGTGCCACTCTCAACTGACGCAGCTGTACATTCCCTATAACATAGCCCAAACTTTGACCCATGCGGTTTGATTTATCTCTGAGGGAGGTCTGTTTAAAGAGTGTATCCAGAAGAACTGACTGGCTCCAGCGATACCATTCAGAGGATGACTTCAGCTTTGAAAATGATGGACCATTTATTCTGGGGATAGCAAATATTGTAAAATTTGAAAATGTACCATTTAAATTTAATTAAGTAAATGTAAGTTTATATGAGCTAACTGCATATATTTATATGTATTTACTTTCATTTTTTAAATTTCAAACAATTCTAACAATCAATAACCTCTAAATATGGGATCTGGACATTTTGCCAGACTGAAGCAGGCCTATTATTAGACTCCAGTTTTTCTGTGTTGGCAGATATCTTTCACACTAGCATCTAATATTTAATATTTATTTGCAGGTAACATTGACATGTTTTCACACCCTGATTTATTCAAACCATTATTCTGCCAGTTCACTGTGCTGGCACAGAGAAGTCCATTCTGCCAATTCATTCCACTATCTGCAAGCTCACAATATAAAACAATAAACCCAGTCAAGTAATATAAACTCCCCCCCCCCTCCCCCCCCCCCCCCCCTTCTGAAAAAAAAGTCAAAGCTTACTGTTTTCCATTAAAAGCTTGTTTCAAAGTCTTATTAAGACGATATGGTGCTTGTAAGTCCTTTCCAAATGCGATGATACAAAGTAATGTAAACATTACAATGAACCAGACTGAATCACTGTGAAAGAAAGTCAACATACATGGTATTAATGCAAAACTGTTTCATAATGGAGTAGCATGGTGTGTTATTTGGTAGCATACTGGTCTATATGCTTACTTATCAAAACAGGTGGTAATGGGTTTGATACGCAGGTATGGCAGATCTTCATTGAGCAATTAGCTATAGAGTAACTCGGTGTAATAAAACATGTGCCAGTCCTGGGAAAAATAATAATGGCTGGGATGTCTATATTATTACCTACCTCATGTGTTCTGTTTCATCATAGAAATTATAATCTAATACCATATTCCCAATATCCTTTATAAGCAGGATGACCATATTAACTTGAGCTGAAAATGGGATATCAAAAGCAAGTTAGTTTAACACCCCCCCCCCCCCCCCACCCTTCCCCAGGTCACAAGAGCGAAAAGGCTAGTAACTCGTTTGACAGTGGTATTAAAACCTGAACTATTGCCAACAAGAAATAAACAGAACAATATGTCATTAACTGCAAAACAAAAACATGCTACGATCAAAATTCTTATCAACAAATTTCAGGCATTAAAAGTATCTAAACCTATAAAATCTAATATAGGTCTATAGATATAACTATAGGTGTATGTTCTATTCTTGAGCTCATTCCTAGATTTTTATAAAATAGGACAACTGGTACTTTTTTTTAGAGCACTGATTAGACACTTTAAAAAAAAAAACAGGGCCTTCCTGGTCAAAACAGAACACATGGTTACCATATTTATAAGTGGGCTCCCCCGTGTGGGTTCCGGGGCCCCATTGTGGGGAAAACAAGAATAGACCCACTGCCTCCCCAAAAGCATGTCGTAAGAGTCGACTAATTGGGAAGCTTCCTTTGAAGTCGGAGTGCATCTGCCGGAGAGGCAAGGAACCAACAGTCTGTATTCAAGAGAATGAGATCAGTAAAACTGATGCACACGCAACACTCAGGTTCTGGAGCAGGACTGCAGTTCAGTAGTGGACGAGCAACCAGAACCTTCCGCCAGAGTTTACAGCTGGTGAACGTGAAGAAGAAAAGAAGAAGATAAGTGGGCTTTTCTGGTGAAGTACACACTGCAAATAAAACTAGGCAAGCAATAATTCATTTTATTTAAGATATAGTTTTGCACTTTACTTTTTTTTTACATTTCCAAATCATGTAGTTAACATTTGTTATCTGCCCCTTCTTATGAAGATACGGAATTCATAGTCACATAATTGAGCTGTCATTATGGTTGTCAAGAAAATACTTGCTGTCAGACTTTCAGCATTCTAAAACATTATATGTAAGTGAAATAGGAAAACGGAAATATTCTTCAGCAGATTGTAAGAAGGCTCCAGTTTTCATGTTTGAAATGATGTCATTAACTTAGAAGTATTGGCTTTTACAAAGTCTGGACTGAAGAGGAAGACTGGATTTAATATATTCTCATCTATCATGACAAGACAGTGTGATCTAAAAATTAAAACTTCCATCTTTGCATAAAAGTGAATTTGAGACATTTAAAGACATATGTTTCTTTGAGTATTATAAACAACAGGTGAAATGCCTACCTGAGAAGCAACATAGCTCTCTTCTGTTTCATGAGTTTCTTCCTTGAAGATTTCAACTGCTTTTCTTGAGGAGGCCCAGCAAATCGGAGGTATCGTGACCTAGACCTTTCAGCAACACCCTGGTGACACAGAGAATTTCAGAGCCTGGTGTTACTGCTGCTATAAAAAAATAATTTCCACACTAAAAAAAAAGTCTTGAAATGCTTACACACTATCTAAAGCTTGCAACCAACACAAACACTACATAAATGCTCTCAACAGGCCATAATAATGTGTATGCCATGAGCAGATAAAAGCAAAATGATGATGTCTTGACAGAGATTTACTGAAAAGATAGAAGACGACGACAGTCAGCATTCTTGAGGCAAATCAAGAGAATAGGAATAGTGAAGCAAGTTGTACCAGGAAAGTTGGAACAGAAGGGTGATCAAGAGTTAAGAGGATATTAAATGTCTGGCTTCATGACACTGTGATACATCTGTATCACAATAGACTGGACACACGGTAACCAAAGTCCTGCGGACTATCAGAAGAAGATGCTGCCAGTTGCACTAGAAAAGGAACAATCAGACAATGATGACATTATCATAGCAATTACTCCCTTCACCTTCCTCTTCTTGTTTTGTGGTCGTCCTTCTATGGTGGTTTACAGCTAGGCTGTGACATTTGTAACTTTTAGCCCAACACATCCAATTTCAGCAAATAATTAATTAGTTGTCATTAACATACTTGTTAAGGGACAGTGGGTTTATTTGTTTCCCCCACCCCTCCCCCCTCTCAACTGTGGCCCCAGAACCCACACAGGAACCTCAATGCAATGATTTTGTAGAAACAACAAACTCAATGGCTCTGACTGATGTTCATTCAGCTACCACTTTATGCCTACAACAGAAGACGCTATAGCTATAGAGCTATAGGAAGATCAAGGCTACTCAATTATATCAAGGATCTACTATATAAACACAATGCAGTCATGATAAGACATGATTAAACTTTAAAAGCATTTAGATACTAATTTATCTGTAATAAATCATTTGTAAAAACCTGATCTGTGAGGTTAGAGCAGAATAATGTGAAATAGGAATAGTCTGGGAAGCAAACAGTGCACATCATTAATGAAATAAGTTGCCTACTCTCTGTAACTCCTCATCCTCCTCGTGGTAATGAGAGCGTGGCTTCTGCGAGCCTGCCAGTGCCATTCTCTCCCCATAGAAGCCATCATCATAATGATCAAACACAGCAGGGTTGCTGCGATGACAGACTGCAGTGTACACAACATAAATCAGAATCTGCAAAGAAAAGTAAAAGCAAGATCTAACCAGTTACTGTTCACAAGCGCAGTGGCATCATTTGTAAAGATTGCCTATCAATTAATATTAGATGTTATTATGTTAATAGTCAAAATGTCTAGAAGGTTACTAGCATAACAGTAAAGTGTGATGTTTTCATTTAGTTTTTGAATGTAAAGTGTGATATTTTCATTTAGTTTTTTAAAGTAAAGTGTGGTATTTTTTTTTTTTAGTTTTTTAAAGTAAAGTGTGATGTTTTCATTTAGTTTTTTAAAGTAAAGTGTGCTGTTTTTATTTAGTTTTTGGCCTAACTATTAAAGAAAGTCAGGTGTTTTGATTAGTTTCTGGCATAAATTTAGTTAAAAATATTTTCTTTCTTCAAATTTTTTAAAGTTAAGTTACTGGCATAATTATTCAGTTAAAACAGATGTTATTTTAGTTAGTAACTAGACCAACTACTGAGTAATCTTAGATATTTTAGTCACTTAGTGGTATTAAAAACTGAGTAAATTTGTTTCTGTGTAATTATTGAATATCTAGATCACTGGTGGCATGATGACTGATTTATGTGCCTAACAGTTAGTAAAGAGTTGAATCGCCAGCAGAGGCAGGATTATTACACCTCTGGGGACAATGCCAACCTTATCCAAGTGGATACTAATTTTCTGGACATGTGTCTCAAAGAGAAGGTGAGGAAGGGAAATGGTCAACTTACCTGATATGTCATGGCCTGGAATATGTGAAGGGCTATATGTGAACTTCACACCCTAAGACAGTATGTGCACTGTGATTACCTTTTATGTTAATATTTACAACAGACAACTAATTTCTGAGGTATGAAACAAAACTGACTGAATACTTACCAAAAATGGCTGTGCAAGAAAAAGACAGACCATAAAGCTGAAGTAGACAGACTGTATCCACATGACACTGAGTGTGTGTCCAAACCTGCCAATAAATTATTAAAATGTTTTTTCAAAAACAATTTCAAAAGCTGCTTATTGTAACATACTATCTAGTTACAATTTATCTATGTAAACAACAGGTGGGTCCTAAACTGTACACTAAACACAAGTAATTGAAGGATGACACTGTGTCATACCAGCAAAACAAAGAGGAAGAGACGTCTGCTTAAAAATTAAAAAAAGATTAAGGCTTCTGATAAGCAGCTTATTTCCCAGGAAGATGGCTTCTGACTAACAGTGATCTGTGACTTATTCTCTGGGTTTAACAAGTGACAAGTCACATGCAAAATCTGTAGTAAGAATAATAAAACTCTGCATGTTTCTGAATACTTATCAGTGTGTGAATAACATTTAAGGATAACTCTGCAGACCCTATATAGAAAACAGAATGTAAAAAATGTTGATAAATATTTCTTTTCACATAAAGGTACACACACAAAAAAACAAAAAACAAAACGTTATGATGAACTTTACAGTTAGTACACTACCTGAACCCATAGAGGATGGTGACTGCCCCACAAGCAGCAGATATGAGAACACACAGAGTCCAGGCAACGTAACGAAACCAGAATGGAAGAAATATTCTCCTGCTTGCACTTAAAACATCTGATGATTCTGCTGAAATATCATATTTTTTTTAAATGTATTGTGCCACATGTAGCTAGTACAACAAATAACTAGTATTTGTAAATTACATAGAGTTAAATTAAAATTTCCTGCAACTCTAGCTATAATGAGTTTTACAAAAATCCTCCCTACCAGTCATTTAATGTCTAAATTGATAAAAGGCTGTTCTTAGTGAAGCAATGTAATCACTAAATAAAACTGGAGCTAAGACTTTACTGATCTCATTCCCTTACCCATCCAAATAATAGGTAGTTACAGTCAATTTTCCCCCCAACCAGCAATGTGACATTTATAAAATTATAAAACACCACTGTGATTTCACAATTTGTTTTTAAAATATCTTTTTTTTTTCTTTTCAACCTAAACAAAATCACCCAAAAAAAAAATGTTTTCCATAAATATAATTACATCCACCATGTCTATATACTATGTAGTTGCAACCAGTGCTACAGCTGTTGTACAGGCCTAGTGAGCATCGCCTAAAGATGTCCTGCCATCAAAAAACCCTCCCAGCCAAGATATCTGCATTTACAGCGTGATGAAGTTAAATGTTTGGAAGAAAACCATGCTATGATGTCTTTTAAATGTGACATAACAGAACAATAGCTGTAATCTTGCATGATTCTAAATCAACTTATTACGTTATTTCAAATAATTATTAATTTTTTTAATGATTTATACATTCTGTTATATATTATTTGGTAAGGTCTTTGAATCTAATAGAGGATTACAAAATATATAGATAAAATCTCATGAGCAAGTTTATTTTTTACCATTTTTAGACCTTTTCCCATTTGAACTGATTTCAGATGTGGTTTTTATTCGCTGTCTGTCTACTATTACTTGACTAGTAGCATCCTCAAAGCCACTTGAAGCTTGATCTGTGTCATCCTCTGGAAGAAAAAAGAGAAGAAAAAAAGACACAAACTAAGCATGCGTCTTGTAATGGCAGTAAACATAATCTGCGTAAATGCAAAGATCATACTGATTGCAAAGTTGTAGTAAAACAAGAGTTAGTTTGTAATTAATAACTTATCTCAAACTGTTTACTCAGTTTTGGAATAAGAATGCTTCATTACACGGAAAACATAAAGTGCCAAGAATGATCAAACAAAACTTAAGGAAGAAGTGGCTGCTGCTGTCAAAATAGGAAACAAAAGGAAATCTAGCTCGCGTAGATTGATGGCATCACAGTACAGGTTTTAAAAGTTCCAGGGAATGTGTAACAGACACTGAACACATACCTAGTGATATGCTGAAATCTGAATTTACAGCTTTATCCAAGAGACCTGGAGCAACTCAGCGTGAAGAGTTCTAAACTATAAAACCAGGTCATTAAACTACTCAGAATTACAATGAGAAGAAAAAGACAATAACAAGATTGGTGAAGAACATTTTAGATTTGTGAAAGTTAAAAAAAAAAAAAGTACATCTAATTAAATTGCATTTTTATGGCCAGCAGAACATATGAAACTGTACCTGCTAATAAAGTCTGCTGCACCAGAGGTGTGGATGAAGGTGCTGAAAGCTGAGGACTGGTCTGAGAAGTCTTCACACTGTTTGCCCTCAAACGCACCTGCAAATGTCCATAAAATCTATATGCTACAGCCGAAAAACAAGGTATAATATTCAAAGTATGAACAGAACTATGCAAATGTAAAAGAGGTACAGCTGATTATCGGCCTACTTATTCCACTAATCTGTGATAAAGTAACTATCAGTAAAATACAGAGAGCTGTTAAGTTGGGCTACAACATGTGGTCACTACCTGAAGAAGATAATTTACATATGTGATAATGTGAATCTGACCAATTCTAGTTTTCATTTGGTCTAATATCTTCTTGTGGTATTCTGCCTGTAGGGCATTTCAAATGAAAGACCACACACAGCTTTTAAAGTTCTACTGGCCAGCAAAAATATATATTAAAATCTTCCATAACTGGAGATAGGGCTGATAAATACCAAATGCAATTATTTGTTTCCCTGGAATCAATCTTGCTACTCATAAAACACGCAACAAATATAAATTTAATTTTCACTTACCGACTGCTGCCTTTTCAGCCACTGCTTCTGTGCCCAGTCTTGAATGTTTTGCCAGTTAAGAATGGACTGATCAAGAATTGAATATATCACTGTGGACTGCACTGGTTCATCATCACATTCACTGGCAAGTTCACAGCCAGATTTACCACTCAGCAATGCTTTGTCTTGCTCATAGCCTGGGTAATGCACCTGTGATTGTACACACAATAACAAAAGTGAAACTAAAGACAGTTCTGATGTTGTACACACAATAACAAAAATGGAACTAAAGACAGTTCTGACGTTGTATACTCAATAACAAAAATGGAACTAAAGACAGTTCTGATGTTAACTGTTTTATCATGTTTTATTTTTAAGTTTCAAGCACAGCCACAAGGGATAAGCAATAGTTCATGTGTACCAAGTAACAACTGATTTGGTCTTTTATTTAGCTTAACCTCACTATAGAACTATGATAAGTGAATGTATCACATAATTATTCTTTTGTGACATCTGTGGCAGTAATGCATTCATAGTTTATATTCATTGTGTCTATCAACAGAATTGGGTATCAAATAGTCACTGGTTTTTTTTTTTTTCTCTAAATAAAACTCAAAATCAAAAGATTTTGGTCACATCTTTAACAAATGTGAATTGTTATAAAACATGGTAATTATTTTGTCTCAACATTGAAGTAGATACCTTAACCTTGTTGCAACAAGAAGCCGTAAAATTAACACTTCTGGTTTCATCAAATCCCCTCTAAATGTCACTTTACTGACACTGCTAAGTGGCTTGTTCATGAGAAGCCTAGATAACTGAACTTGTATTGTTTGAACCTGGCCTAAACATTAAGGAGAATCATGAAATTTTATATTCTGGGGAAGGCTAATCCTTTTAGCTAATAAATGCCTGCAGAATTTGCATATGCCGTCTGAAAGGCAGAAATATCACAGCCATGCCGTAAACAGGCACAACGTAATTACATCTTCAGATTATGTGTGCATATTTCAATTTTCTTTAATTTTTTCCTTTTAACTATATTCTTTTTCTTCTTCATTTCCTTTTTAATTGCATCAGGTGTTGAGGGACATAAAAGGTCCTGCTTCTTGTTCATCTGGCTGCTTCCACCACCGAACATCGTGCTGATGCAAAGTTTTATTGTTTTTTTGTTTTGTTTTAAACTATCACAATAATATTTTCTCAGTTAAAAAACAAAAAGAAAAAAGAAAATACATTCATTTAAAATGTTACCACTTTAGCTAACAAACTAAACTAGACAGTCCTATTTAAATATTAGCAACTCAAATTCAATCTAGCTTTATTTTCAAGACAATAACAACTACGCATACAGACCATATTTATGCACACACTCTGTATTGTACTTGTACCATTACTTACAAATACTTTTCACTTCGATACACTGCTCTTATTTCTTCTTCTTTTCTTTGCGTTCACTCGTCGTAAAGACCTGCAGAAAGTTCTGGTAGCTTATCCATGTCTGGACTTTAGTTTTAAAAATCTGACTTATTTATATGCAGACTGTTGATTTCTTTCTTTTCAGACAGATGCACTCTACTTCGAAGAAAACATCCATAATTAATCAACTCATAAAACATGCTTGTTAGAGTGCAGTGGGTCTACCCCCCCCCCCCCCTCTTCCCCCCCCACAATGAAGCCCTGGAACTCACATGGGGATAATATAATGTACTTTGTATTTCAATGTCCCAAAAATATGTCTATGAAAACACTTACACGACTCCTGCGGAACATGAAGCTGAGTATGAGGTTTAGTGGAAGAACAATAGCACAGCAAATACATCCAACAATAACATTGTGCCATGACAGATCCAACAGTCCAAACTCTCCACGAATCTGATGGGTAGAATTGATATTTGTTAGTATTTTTCACAATATAACAGAAATGTACAAAATCACACAAAATTATAATAAACGCCAGAAATAAATGACACAATTTTAATCTGTAAAATTTTATTATATGAGGGGAAGTCAATAAGTAAGTCACAAATGGTTGTTTAAAGAAACAAACTAAAGACGACAACAACTTGAAAACCATTACACATACACTATCACTTTATTTGTCAACATAATTTTCACCAACAATGATGCATTTTTCACATCGTTTTTTCAGTCCTCCTGTATACAACTGCGTGCTCTGTTTTCAAAACCTTATTTTGACTTCACATTCAACTTCTGCCTCATTTGCAAAATATTTCCCGCTAATGTGAGTTTTAAGTGAACCAACAATTTCAATCGATCATGCATTATGTTGTATGCTGAACCATGTGAGCAACTTCATGCAGCTGCTACAGAGTCAACTTTTACTCACTTGTCACCTCTAATCAACTCCTCCACCTGCTGCATAGATGCGTCTGTTGCAATCTCACACAGGACGACCAGATTGGATTTCATCAACACTTTTAGAGCATCCTTAAGACAATTATTTTTACCAAGCTATGCACCGCTTTACCGGATAAGCATCTGTCGGCATAAACAAGAAGTATTTCCTTACAAATTTTCTTTACAGGCAGCCCTTTTGCCCCTCCCCTCCCACCCCCCTTCCCTAAAAAAATGCCCAATAGCACATTTTTCTTTGAGGGTACACGCCGTAAGTGCAGTTGCAATTTTGTTTCTGTTTTGTGAATGCACATGTAACTTCTAGTGCCACCTACAGAACGGAAACAAAGTTTGATGTTGTTGTCACTTAATGACACCCTTAGGAACCACCACCTATATTTTCCTGCCATCCCATAACCATTTGTAACTTACTTTTTGACTTCTCTTCATATAATGACATGCCAGCAAAAGGACAGAAAATTCAGTGCTAAGGACATATAAAGGCATGTCCAAAACAATACTACAAGGCTCAGCAGAAGGGAAGAGGAGAAGAGGCAGACCATGAAAGATCTCAATACAGAACTTGACTGACTGGACAGGCCTTAGGCATGCAATGATGAGGTCCACCGCATCTGATCGCCAAAGGTGGATGGAGTTGACAACAGCAGCTGGTGACCCAATGACACACCTGTTATGGGATGATGATGATGATGATGGACGTATTTCAATCTAAACTAGTTTTAAACAGTAAACTGGCAATATTACAGATCATAACATCAGTAAACTACCTGTGATGGAGTCTGTTTGAACCACACAGCACTGAGACACATATAAGCCATCAGGAGAGTGAAACAAACAGTAAGCCTCTGTACTCTAGTGAAGCGACTGTGAGGAGGACAGGTCCACACGGACAGCCATGTGTGAAAATCTGTCAGGTATTGGCAGCCCTTACACCAGAAGATCTGTGATAACAAAACACTCAGTGTTAATAACTTATTCAAAATTACCATTATTCTTGTATCTGTATGGGATTAAATGTACCTACACCCACAAAAAACTCCATGCACCATTTAAATCGTTTGGTACCAAAGAATACATGTGTATATTTATAAATAATTAAACTATCCTTTGATACTGAAAGAAGCTTGTATAACTGAACAAAACACACACACACACATAACTTCATGCACCCTTTAAATCATTTGGTACCAAACAACATATGTGTATATTTATAAATAATTAAACTATCCTTTGATACTGAAAGAAGAAAGTATAACTGAATAAAACTCCACACAAAAGAACAGTTTCAAGTAATTTGTTTCGCTCTTGCTATAAAAAGGCAATGGTATAAAAAAAACACTTTGGTTATGAAGGAGTTTCAAATATCAAGATTACCTAGGATGGTTGAGTTTTAAAATGTGCAATTTTTATTTTTAAATGAACATAGTGAGCAATTAAATAACTGTTAAAAGAAGAATTAATTGTTTCAAATAGATGTCTGCCTTAGTCAATAAAAAGTGTCACTTGGTATAGAATGTGTTAAAAATGAAGCTGTTTGTACATATTTAGAGGTGACAAGAATATACATACAATGGAATAATGAATGAATATCTCACCATTCCAAAACCGATGTTTCTTCCATCAATGGCAGTAAATTCTCTTTCAACTTTGCCATCATCCTTGTCCACTGCTAGCCACCTCTGGCAGAGAAAGTAAAATGCTTGACCAGTATTCAGGTCTCTAACAACCACCTGTCTCAAGAACCAACCAGGGGATGACCCAGAGTTGTTATGCCACAACTGAATCTTGAAGATTTTGCCCAGACTGTCAGGTAATCTGGAATAAAGGCACCAAACAGTTGCTGAAGTAAACACTTTAACAGCACTGTATTTTGTGTACTGTCCTGACTCTCAATTCATATGTGGAAATGGCATAATGTCTACAAATACTGGGATAGTGAATCGGAGACCTAGCCTTTTGAAAGATGGATTCTTCTTCTTCTGCATTCACTCATTCATGGGCACTGCCCCCACAGAAGGAAACTGCAACCTACTGTATTTTGCAAAGAAAAAGAAAGATGCTGACAGTTTAACATCATGGCATAGAGGATCATCTGTATCAGAGCTGACTGAAAGTCCACAAGACAGAAAATTGTGGATAAGACATGACAATCAGTGCCACATGGCATGGACTTTAAGGAGAAGTAGTATTCATCCTTTTTGTGTGTGTGTGTGGTGGTTTACAGCTAGGCTATGCCTTTTGGCCCAATGTATCTGGTCTCAGGAAACTGGTACTTAGGGGCCTTTTACAACATGCATGTCAGGAGACAGTGGGTACACTCTTTTCTCCCTAAATGGGGCACCAAATATCCAAGGGGGGTTGTCATGAATGAAAAATAGAAGATCACGCATGCAGACTGTGCAGAGTAAAACTCCCATGGCAGTGTAAAATTATGAAGAGGTAAGATGTAGAGGCCACTATTTTTTTGAAATTATAAGGCTACCCACAAAATTATATTTATATAGCTCTTGTGGATCTGAAAACAAGTGGAAACTACAACATAAATACCCTAGAATAAGAATGGGCAGTTACAAAAATCCTGTTCAAACAAAATACTTACGTGACAATAAATCTGTCTCTAGACTTTCTTTCAAACATTGGATAATTGTCATCACTGATAAGTTCCCTTGTTTCTGAGACACCTTCTTCCCCATGCAGAATAATGCTTATCTGTTAATGAACAAAAGCATTGCCAGTCTTCACATACATTTTGACTTTCAAATTTTATCACAGAAGTTACTGCAAGAATCCAAACATCAACCAAAAAAACTAGGATCACACTGTTGTGTGTGCAATCCCAGGATTCACGCTAGGGGAGACCGCTAGTGAACTAGAGATATAACTCGAGACAAGACGTCACTTGCTGACAAGAATTTAACAGTTGACAGTTACAAGGAATGTGTGAATGGCGAACAAAAGCTTATCTGGATCTGTACTTGATGCTGCAGACTGCGGGGAGCTTAGGCTGAATACTCCCGTTTGGAGGTCAAAGGAGATATTCTGCCATAGTTCAATACGGTCATTCTACCATATTAATTTTCATGGTCACACACGCACGTATGTGGAGAATTACAAATAAACGTGATGTTTTGCTGTTTTTTTTTTTTTTTTTCCAAGTACGTTAGTTCAATATTTGGACCATTTTGTGGAGGCCTCTGCCTGTTGTGCATTCTAACAGTTGCTACCCTTAGAAGAACATAACCTAGCATAGGCATTGAATGCCGTATGGCAGGGACCTGGGATTGCTGACCAAATATCGCTGCACATTATGCTTTCAGGTAATCAGTTTCAACTTCATAGCAAATGGGTCACCCCATTGTTGCTCAATTCCTGTGACACTGAAAATGAAGTAAAATTTCTGTCAGTGTTCATTGTAGAAAAATTGACACAGTCTGCAATCTCAGCATATCTAATAGTGTACACAGGCATTAAATGCATAAGGCAGCCATCAGAAGTACCAACACAAACAGTCCAACACTGAAAATGCAGGAATCAGCAGTTACAATAGATCAGTAGTTGTACGCACAATAAATTAGGTAAGGCACCACAAGTATTGTGACGACAAGTCACTCACTATTTTCTAAATCTACAGTTGACAACACTAACTTCATTAGTCACAGTAGAAAAAAAAAGATTCCAAACTGAAATTTACAGCTCACAGTGTTGTGCCATGCATTCAACTCAGTAGCTGGGCGACAAAACTATATCCTTTCAGTCTACATATGGAGGAAAATACAACAGTCAGTTACTATCAGAAGCAAAAACTTGAAATGACTCAAAACAGGGAACAGGTTGCCTGTGGAGAGGTGTAGACATGTGATGCATGGCTCAGCACATCTGCATCCTAATGGAAAGCATTGATCATGAAGACCTTTTTGTCAGGATTATTAGTTTGAAGTGATCAATGATGAGTGAGCTGATGCAAGATTTCTTGAAATTATGTTTTCTTTTCCTTTCACAAGTTCAGGTACAGAATCTAAGGTCAGAAGGTCAACATGTTTAAGACGTGTAAAAATAAAAGATTACTAAAGAAAATTGACTTACATCAAAAGACAATTTTCTTTAAAACTAAAAATTGTTATCAGGTATTAAACATACCTTTGATGTTGTTCCAGCATCTCTGCTACAGCCGGTTTCCATGAAAACTTCATACTTCTGACGGTGTGTCGGAGAGTTGTCTTGAAGGTAAACACAGTTGCCTTTCTTGGAATCATGGATATCAGCTTGGCGGAGTATTGCAACCAGAACAATATACACCAAGAGAGATACACCAACCAAAACTACAGCTACTGGGTTCTCATGTAAACTGAAAATGAACATTGTGTGTGAGTTGACACCAGTTAACATATATTATGTGTGTACAGAAACCTGCACATGAATATTGTGACTAATGCATTAATGTATATAATATGGAGAATACACCAGTAGACATGCATGGCATCTCTAAGGTTGTCATCACACTCGGAAGGTACTGCAGGGATCAAAATCCTGCGGCCGTAGACACAGAAGTAAGGAAACTGATAGATCAGCATTCAGACCCAGAAGATATCATCATCTACATAGATGGATCCGTGAAGCGCGGATCAAGGTCAGCATGGGCATACACAGCGCAAAGAAGGGGGAAAACAATACATGAGGACAGCGGCGCTTACCAGACAACCACGTCAAGCATGACAATGGAAATAGCCACTGTTTCTAGAGCTTTAGCGTGGGTATCCGAGAAAACCGCCACACAGGCAGTAATTGTCTCAGACTCAATGAATATGCTTCAGAAGATAGCAACACGCAGTATGCACTCTAAATGGATAGAAAGCATTCGGAAATCGCACTTAACCTCCGTAATCTGAATCTACACACCGGTTCATGTGGGCGTAAAGGAAAATGAGCGAGCGGACCAACTGGCAAGCACTGCACTAATGATTGCGGGAAAAAGCATGGACAGAGCAGATATCGTCAATGCTGTACAAACTGGGCTAGTGGAGAATGAGGCATCCCTGACACTAACACGATTGCGTGACTTGGGAGTTAAGCATGGTGATGCACGTCTTTGCCGTCTTCGGGGCCGAGAAAGGAGACGATATAACCAGCTTCTCATGGGGACAATAAATAGAAGTACTTTGGAGTGGCTGCTGCTTCAGAGAACTGAGCACGCATAGGTATGCTCAATGTGCAGTAACATCAAGTGTGATAACAAAACATAAAATAACATCTTGTAGGGAGTCGGCAGTCCGAAACCCAAGTTCAAGGTGTCTCCTTCGTGCCAAAGAACTGCATGGCTGTTGGGTGAACAGTCGTTAACGAAGGCAGGCAGGTTGTAGGGGCGATGCCTGCTGGTGGACGTAATGTCCTAAGACCCTTCCCCAGCTAATAATGAGGGTACTGCTGGGGTGACCGTTTATTAACCCTCATATAATGCTTCAGGTCAAAATGGACGCTAGGCACGGCCACCTTTTTTTTTCCTGCCAGAAGGTGGCCGTTGCATTTTTGCTCCATTTGTAGACTGGAAGGATATAGTTTCGTCACCCAGTTTCTGAGCGGAGTGCATGGTGTGACACTGTGAGCTACATGTGTTTTTCATTGGCAATTATGAAGCTGAAACTAGGATTACCAGAATGTATACAAATCTACACAAATTTTCAGAATTTGATCACATAATTCATCTGCGCATGTATTGTAAGCAGAAGTATCTTATCTTCATCAATACTGACAATGATAAAAACATACATATAATACCTCAAACACAATGAGTTAAGGTTGCGATTAACGCGATACACTGTAAATATTTTTTATTCCACAAACTGGACCTCCTACCTTGCTAATATCCTGAAGACTGACATGCCTCTTCCTAGTATCCTACCCACAAACTGGACGCTTGCCTAGCTAAGATCCTAAAGACTGCCGTGCCTCTTTATAGTGGCCTATCCACGAACTCAACCTTTTGCCTAGCTAGGATCCTAAAGACTGTCATTCCTCTTCATAGTGGCCTATCCACAAACAAACTCTTGCCTAGCTAGGATCCCAAAGACTTGCATGTCTTTTTATAGTGGCCTACCCACAAACTGAATCTCATGCCTAGCTAGGATACTAAAGACTGTCATGACTCTTCATAGTTGCCTATCCACAAACTGAAACTCTTGCCTAGCCTAGCTTGGATCTTCATAGTTGCCTATCCACAAAATTGACCTCTTGCCTAGCTAGGATACCAAAGACTTGTATGCCTCTTCATAGTTGCCCAGCCACAAACTGGATCTCTTGCCTAGCTAACATCCTAAAGACTGACATGCCTCTTCATGGTGGCCTATGCAGAAACTAGATGTTCAGTGTAGCTAACATTCAAAGCATTGATATGGCACTTCACAGTGCAGGGTTCCAGTACTGGTCTTTTATATCCTGCTGTTTTTGTCTGAACTTTGAGAAGGGTCAAAGCACTTTATAAAAAAAAGTCCTTGCAAAAAGAGGAAATTTGTAAAACATTTTAATTCTGGAAGGAAGCCTTTTTTTCCTTTTTTCCAAGGAACCTAAACATCAAAGCACCAGAGTTAAAATCCAGTCTTGCAGAAGACATGCAAGTAATCACCCCAATAACCCACAAACATTTAAAACAGATTAAGAATACCATACCTGAAAAACTCATTGACATCCAGTGAAGACAAATCATTGGGTATTAATTCAAAATATCCTCCAAATGTTGTTAAATGGTTACATCTGAATGGAACAAATAAATCAAAAGAGTTTTAGAAAAATAAACAAACAAAACATAAACATCAAAATTAAGCAAACTTAAGGTCACTATCAAATCACAATTATGTTCAAACTTGACTTTCTCAATTTGCATGCAAAAAAATATCTCATCCCCACTAATTAACAAAACAATTGATTAGATCTGCAAATTCTGCTAACTTAAAATTTTGCTTAAAAATTGAAATTACGCTGTAAAACGAATCAAAAACATGAACCTTCACTGTAGTACTTACACTTTATAACCTCCCCCCCCCCCCCCTAATCCCCCGTGAATGATATTGCATACATAAAGAGGTAGGTTCTTCTATAATTTGTTGACACAATGACTATTATCATTAATAAGCCCAGTAATTGAAAGGTGTATTTGATTTATAAGTAGGATGAGAGGCACACAGTTGCACAAAATGTTTCACTTACTGACAATGCAGTTCGTCTACATTTGCTATGTGTGATACACCACAGCCATCACTATGCCATTTGTCATCTGTATGGTTCCAGTATACACAAGCACCCCACCACATATTTAGTGTATAATGACGACCTTCAATCTCAGTTCTGCGTCGTCTGCCTTTCTTGAAAGAGGCATCCATAAGACCAATGTAATGCTGGTTACCACCTAGACAGCAATGGAAACATTCACCATTAGTTCCTCAGTCATACAAACACAATACAATTCTTAACCTAAACTTACAATGACTGATTTTAAATCGAGACCTATAATCACTAGCTTGAAAAATACATTTGGAGCCATGGCTAGCACACTTGCCACTGTCTGCTCTTTCATTATGTTCTAATTCTAATTTCCGTGAATTTATAAAGCTGACCCTGGTTATTTGGTAACATCAGTCTAAAGTGATTTAGGATATGTTCTGGGAAGAAGAGGTGGTCAGATACTGACCCCATCAGTCATTGAATACTGACTGGTATATATAACTTTTTCAGTCCCAAGGAACGCATCTGACGTTTATGTTCAATCCTAGAAGTGCAATAAATGCAAGATTTACCACATCTCTCTTTACTACCTTTTAGGCATATGATATCAGCCCCTGGGACTGAAAAAGTTAACAATGGGGGCTAAAAGAATATAACAGATTTGGCATGGAAGGCTACACATTCACAAAAATAGTTTTAGCAATATAAATTTCATTAGCTTAAAGCATACACAGATTTTATGTTATCTTACATTTTTAAAAATTTAAATATCACTTTACAGTATTTACTAATGTCCTTAGAGACAAAGTTGGAACAAGAGCATGCATGGAACATATTGAAAGACAGAGAATGAAGTGGTTTGGCCATTTAGTAAGAATGCAACCGGATCAGATTGCCTATAAGGCCTTTTACAGTAGAACATCGGGAAGAAAGGCCAAAGGAAGACCCAGGAAAAAATGGATAGATGGAGTAGCTGAATACGGCCAGAAGATCCAGAAAACTGTCACTCAAATCACGCGAGACACAAAACAAATATTTTAAAACACGACACTGGGCTGCAACCCTGTAAAAGTGAAGAAGACAATGGATAGATAGACTAATGTCCTTTGGTTTAAAACATATAGTGATTTCATTACCATAAAAAACTAATTTTACTTTCTTAAAATATATACTAATTTAATAGCTTACAACATACTGATTTCAATCGTTTAAAACATTTAATTTTTACAAGTGAACAACATATATTAACTTTACTAGTGTGAAACACACACTAAAATTCAAAATATCACTTAAAATAACTGGTGTTGATCTGGTATATGCGGGAACTGAAGTGTCAATGTACACTGATAACACCAAAAAGAAAACATATCACAACGATAAAAAATAGATAGAAGAGCAGAAGCAGCACTTTTTACAAAGAACTCTTATGCAATAAATTTCTGTCACTGGAGGTAAGAAAAGAATTTCTGCATATTACAAAGAACCAGTGTTAACACACCGGTTGAATCCTGGACAGTTAGTAAACAAGCAACATTTGTCATGATACCTCAGAGATGTGGTTTTCTAAAGGTCTGTTCAAAATATATAGCCCAGCAAAATAACTGTTTTGAAAAAGGCTTTAAAAAAAATTATTTTAAAAAAAAAACATGCACACACACACAAAACAATTAATAATCATAAACGATGAAAGAGGTACCATAGTTTTGGTCACATTGTATGAAGAGAAAAACAAGAAGATGTGAAAAGGAATAATCTATACAAACAGAGATAGAGGAAGACCATGAGAGAAGATTCATTAACGTCTTTTGTCATGGCACAGGAAGTTTCAGCACAAGAACAGATGGAGATAAAAAGGTGTTGCAAAACTTGATCACTAAGTAGGATTTGCAGAACAATGGTGATTATGATGACAAATACTAAATTCACTTGTGCCAACCATACACTTTTTTCAGCAATTTCAAACTTGTAACATTCAGTAACTCATAACAAACTATTAGTTCATCTATCAGTTATTATGTAGTTGGCGTCTGCTAGGAGGATTTTGTTGATGGCTGGGAAGAGTCATTATACAATGTAAAGGCTAAGTTTACATCATATCAGAAAACAAACCTTTGCTTATCTGATTACAATCCATACCTCGAAGTGTGGGGGGACTCATTTTAATTCCATTGTAGTACAATTTCTTCATAGATTATGTCAATAAAATGCAGCTAATAATACTTCCCTAATAGCTAGTTAAAAAAAAGAAAAAGGTCACTTACATTATGCACATTTATTTCTGATGTGATTGTGGATGACAGACTAAACAAATTCATCAATTTCCCAAGAACACACATATATACAATTATTCAAAAGCTTTATTTACATTGAATAGCTAGATTTAAAATTAAAAAAAAACTGGATAACCTGACATGACAAGACAGATGTGAAACTATGCTGCAGCAAACAAGATGGCTGAAATCATGGACTCACTCTTAACAGTTCCTGGTGATAGCAATATTTTGATATCTTCTGTGTTGTACACCTGCTTGAAGATGTACTGACTCAGATTGCTTGGGGTCTCACTTGAGCTAACATAAAAAAACATTTACATACAGTAATCTTCTCAACAATCGTCAACAGCAGATATGAATCCTAAATGATAACTGATACATACTCTTCTTAAGAAACAAGTTGTATACAGCAACACTATTGCTATTGTTGTTTTGTTTAGTCATCCAAGACAGAAATTAAATTAGTAGAGCTGCTTTGCTGTCTTTTCTTAATTCACTTCTACTAAACTATTTAAATTCAAAAGCAAATAACTGAAAGAGAATAATGTTTGTTACAGTAGACTCACTTAAACATATTACCATAGACAACCTGAAATGATTGAATCCTTCCCCTAAAGTAGATTACAGTAAATTAATTATAGAAATAAAGTAAAGACAATTTTCTAAACAATCTGTGACTAGCTATGAAGCTAAAATTATAATGACACAAGAAAGACCAAAAATATGGGCTTACATGGTATAAAATATGCAACCTATTTCAGACGGTGGTTTGTATGAGATAAGGAATGGGCCAAGGCATTTTCTGAAAACTTTTTTTTTTTTTAATTATTACATATATATTTTTTTAAATGAACAATATGAAATGAAAGTATCCCAAGTAATCTTACAACCTGAACTTATATTGTTACAGGAAACATCTACATCAGGCTCTCAGTCGGTTTCCTGTTGTTTAATGGCTGCCCTGTGTGCCTCATTTACCTCTGTCGCGGTCACTGTTACCTAACAAATATAGTGCTTTACTTTTTAAACTGCCAGTTATATATAGTCTTAAGTGCAGACTATACAAAAACAAACACAAAATAAAATAATGTCAGCAGCAAAGAAATTTTAGACAGATTAGAACAGCTTATTTAGGTTCCTATCTCCCAGCTATATCTTGCTAGGGTTCTATATTGTTTCAAAACATCCATTATCACCATTCCCATTAATGTGACTGGTAACCTAGTAGTGTGCAGATTATGTAGTCTTTGGTTGGTGCTACCTCACTGACGATCAATAATGATGCTGTTGTGTTTGCTAGGCTCCTGTTTCCATGGTGTGCCGTGAAAAGATGAAGCAAGGTCTTTGCCAGGGATTTCGAAAATAAAGCCTCAGTGTCTACATCTCTTTTTTTCTTCAGCTGCCTCACCTGGAGCACACGTTGGCAATCATACCTCTCCACTATTATCTTTTTCTGCCCTTTTATCTCCTCAATCAACACACAAGCTACCCATATTTTGCAGCTCATTCCATGTCCTCCCATATTCATCACAGCCTCTAATTCTCTTCTCTATGTGTTTCCACACCTCCAACTATGTCATCCCTGTAGTGGTGCAAGAATAATTTAGCTATATTATTATACATTTTTCTCTCTAAATATCTGCTCACACCCAGTGCCACTATTACTCTCTGTCCTTTGATATTTTAATAAATTTGATACATCTTCATGCAACTGTTTTTTTTTTTTTTTTTTTTTTTTACCTTTAACGAACAGCATCTTTGATTATTATATTTCTTTCCTTTATTTGTGTCACATTTTCCATCAAATATCACTGCACAGTCAACGTTTGTTAAGAAGTGGAACTGTTTGATGTTTACAAGTGTTTCTGATTGCGATGAAATTGAGTTTAGAATCAACTATAGAGATGCCACCACAGCACACAGTCCAAACATGGTTAGGCTAGACAATCCTAAAGTACAATCTGTGTAACTGGGCAACATAACTGTCTGATTATAATCTAAGGAAGTGCAAGCATTTCATTTGAGTTTCACTGCTTGAGTAAACTGCAAGAAAACAGTTATAGCAGTTCTCAATCTTGGAATCCAATGGCTCTTTGATGGACAAGCACACAGTGAGTACACCTGAAACTTTGCTCACCTTCTATACTTTCAGGCTTGAGCCAAGGTTTCAGGCACACCCACCATGCACACATTCAGCAATCTTCTACAAACTCAGTACAGCTGCAGCCATCCATGGAAGCACCTCATGACAACAAACCTGTCATTCCTCTCAAACAAATGTCACAGCTATGACCATAAACATTGTAGTGCGTATACAGCACATGCTGCAGCTGGTTCTAGAACTATATTCATAAACTGACTCTATGAGGCACACAGGTATAGTAATCAAAGAAGTTAGGAATCTCATCTCACCTTACAATTACCATGATAGGAAATGTGAGACCTTTAAACACCGGCTGGAGCTGAATGTGAATATGCAGATATTTGTCCTGCAATTCCGAAAAGTCATTGGAGTTTTCATAATTGTGTGATATGTTTGCATTCATCTGATGAATATTCATGGCTGTTTTGTTCAAGTAGTATTTTCTGAAGTCTGTGTTCTGAAATAAAATAAATATGTCAACAGCATATATCATATCATTTCATTCTTGGTCTACTACCCAACTACACAAATCTCTTTACAGGTAATTCACCGGATGACCTCCTAAAAAGTCCACTATCACTGGGGGGGGGGGGGGGGGGGGGGGGCGACATTGGGCGAAAATCCCCATACTATCTACAGACTCACAAATAAATTATAAAATCCCCATATTATCTCTGGACTAAAAAATAAAAAATAAAATTCTTATTTCTCATTGACATTTAATCATCTCTAAAAATCCCAATGGGACAAAATGTATATTATGAATATATCAATGATAGTAAAGCAACAACTGTACAGAAACGTGCTGAAATGCTTGATAAATCTACATGGTACAGTTTTAACAGTCATATTGTAAAACAGATATAAATCTAATAACTCATTACTCAGACCTAGTTGAATATTAAAATATATTTGGGTTTTTCTTTTCAATAAGTGACCCGAAAAGTCTCTTGTGTCTTGACAATTGTAGACAGACAGACCACAGAAACAAGGCACTATAGGTAGCAAGAAAGGAGTAATTTCACAACTGGATACTGGTACTTAAAAGCCTGGTTTGTTTCTGGATCAATGCTTAACAGCACAATGCCTTTGTTTCTACTAGACATACCTTCCATTCTGACATTTTGTCTCTCTTACATGACTTCTAACAGTATATCAAGAAAGAAGCTATTCATCACATAAAGATAAAGGTGAACAACCATAATTAAAATAACAACCACATCCTTAAAGATATTGAAAGTAGCCATTATTGTCACTGCAACAAAGATTTGGCAATGTATCACAACTTAAGTAAATCATTTTGTCAGATGACACAAATGTTCTATCAAAACTGTCAATAATTCAGAGATGAAACCTTACTGTGACTAGTTGCACTTTTTTGGGAATAATCATATTGACCATATCTGTATCTGGTAAACTTTGAACTTTGATCTCTTCATCTCCAAAACAGTTGTAGATATTTAGGGATGCCAACTCTGACTGAATCTGGAAATAAATAAAGTAGTAAATAATGGACCACTGTTCATGCCATGTGTAGATGGGTACATGGTGCTAATCTCATATGTTTAGACTATCAGCCCTTGATGGTTGGAGTGGTCAATAT